CCCTCATCTAATTCTATGACAATGTTTTATTTTTTTTAAAGTTTTTCAACTTCTCTTCTTAAAATCCAGAACTAATAATTGATGTTGAGTGCTTAATTTTTACTTGAAATGACCTTATAATCTTTATGTTCTTGATGGTCTATTTTTCTTATAAGAAAATAATCAATTTGTGTTTTGTTAGATTCATTCTTATAAGTAATAGTATGCTCATCTCTTTTCTTAAATAAAGTATTAGCACAAAATTATAAGCTAAAGTAAAATCTAATATGACTCTACATTCTTTATTAATCACTCTGAAATCATAGTCACCATGAATGAAAATTATTCAAGTCATACTTTTTTGACAAAAAATTTATGCTGTCTATCGATTATCTAAGACAACCCTTCATTTTTCACATGTCGGGGCTTGAGACTCGACAATGATAGTGTTTCCAGTAGAAATTAACAAGAACAAGAAAAAATTAAAGAAATTCTAGATTGCCTAAGCTCCAAGAAGCGAAAAGAAAACATGAACAAAAAGATAGGGGGAGAGAGAAAACTTCCATTCATTAATCCATTTATATCCCTTTGTCCCTCATTAGTAGAAATACATATAAAATAAATTTGCTATTAATCCATTCTATTAACTACTCTTTTTAAACCCAATACAAGAATTAATCATCCAAGATCCCCCACACTCCATCATTACTCATCCCTTCAAATGGACCTTAAACTCAAGCTCGAAGAAATTGGATAAGAAAAATCAAGAGAAATTTGATAAGAAAAACCAAGAGATATGGATAATAAATCCCGAAAATTGATGACATGCAAATCTAGCGAGGGCGATTCGATTTGGGTTGGTGATATGGAAAAATATGGTCTGACATGTTGGGTAAGTTGTGATGGTGTTTAAAGTTGCAATGATTGTTGTCACAAAAGATCATGGAGATGTGGGTTGGAGGTGGCAATCTTCGGCGATGGGACCAGTACAAGGTGGTGCGTGAATGATTGGGCATATTAAATTTAATGGAGATGACAACTAAACTTGATAGAGATAAAGAAAGAGAGTCATAGCTAAGTGAGAATCTGTGAATTTATAGGGCATCAACATACTTGGGTTTGACGATTGATGTTTAATAATGAGTTATATAGGGGATATTTGGGAGAAATGGTGGTTGTGAGAAAAATAAAAGGATCTAAAAATGGGATCAGGGAAAGGATGCAGGTGTCGAAAAAAAGCATGTGAACAATGATGCTTCTTGGATGGAAAAGAGATTGGGGGTAGGCATATTCTTGGACAAAAGCTGCATATGTTCTAAGACGACTCTCTCTAGTTTCGTGTGCCACTAGAGCAACACCAACCTTTTCATGGATACATTTGTTTCACATTTTAACTCTAAGTGTCAAGCCATTCTTCCACCCAAGCATTCTTATCTCAGCAACACCTAACTTAGTTTTATGCTTCTTTTTTAAATGCTAATATTATGTGCTATAAAGCATTGCAAGTCTCATCACCATCTTATAACATTTTCCTTTAAGTCTAAGCGGTATTGTTCTATGTCAAAATAGGCCCGATGCATTCGCATTCCTCCACTTCAACCAACCAACTTGATTTCTTCTAATAACATCCTCATATATATCACCATCACTTTGAACAATAGACTCGATATATCGAAAATGTTCACTCTTGTTAATGATTTGATCACCTACTGTTACAACTTAGCAACTAGTCTACTTCTAATAAAATTACATTCAATGTATTCAGTTTTAGATCTACTCAAACGAGGGCCATCAGACTCTAATGTAGATCTCCATAATTCAAGTTGTTTGTAAACTTTTGTTTGGTTTTATCTACTAGAAGGATATGGTTAGCGAAAAACATACACCAATGTACATCCTACTATAAATGTCTAGTAAGAGCATCCATAACTAAAGCAAAAAAGATATGTGCTTAAAATCGATCCCCGATGTAATCCAATTGAACTAGGAAAATACTTGGTTAATCCTCCTGTTCAAACACGATTAGCATCTCTAGTATACATATTCTTAATGGCTCGAATATAAATCATATCAACCCCTTTCTTTTCTAGAACTCTCCAAAGAACTTCACTTGGAATCTTATCATAAGTTTTTTTCTAAATCAATAAAAATCATAAGTCCTCCTTATGATGCGGGAGCTTACCGTCGCGGTATTGTAGTTGCTACAGTACTGCACACCCTTTTTCTTCTTTGATCCATTACTTTTTCTATTTCTTCCTATTTTAATTTCTTCATATTATAACTTCTAGTACTGACTATAAATATATTGTTTGTTGTCTTATGGTTAGCTTTTGGTGAGTTTTATTTCATATTTCTGTAAGGACAATTTCCGACATTTGTTTTCTCCTTTGAGGTTGTATTTAGAGAATTTGGTGGTGCTCCAGTTGCATCTTTCTCCCGATGTGGTAATTATCTTCCTCGTATCCCCTTACGCATCTTCCTACATCGCTCCCTGCAGTTGTACCTCGCTGCAGCCGCTCGAAACATCATCACATTGCTGTTTTCTGTAGTTCCAGCCACCCCCATTGCCTTCTCCTCCCTCGTCCTCATTGCCCTCCTTGTCCTAGCCCTCCATCTTCGCTGTTGTAGCACGCAACGTCTTTCCTTTGCTATTTTCTGCTGTCCAGCAACACCAAACTGCAACCTATTGTTGCTTTTTGGATTGCCACCCCGTGCTGTTCTGCTGTTCCAGCTACCCATAGCTGCTGCCACCCTTCATCCACAGTTTAGAAACCCCTTCCCTACCTTGCCACACCTATCCGAGACCCCTAATAATCACCACCATCACCCAAAATCTGCCGCCCTAACGCAAGTTGTGCCTTGTGCGTTGTGTTTCCCATTCAAGTGTGTTGATCGTAATCGTCTATTTACTTACGGTAATAATATTGATTTTTCCCTATTATGGTTTGGGTTAACTCCAGTGTCTTCTTAATCTGTACTTCTCCATCAAACCTCTCAATAAATGTAAATCATTTATAGCATACTCGCCCGACATAAATCTAAACTGATTATGAGAAATCCTTATATCACGTCTTAACCTTTGTTTAATTACTCTCCCATAATTTTATTATATGACACTTAAACTTAATTTCTCTATAACTTGCATACTTTTGTGTTCCCTTTTATTCTGAAAAGTGGGGAAAAATACTCTTTCTTTATATCTTAGACATCTTTTTAGTTTTTAACTTAATATTAAAATGTTTAGTAAGTCAAGAAACTCCCCAAATTTCTTAAATTTTTTCACACTTCTATTGAGATACCATCAGTCCAACTGATTTTCAATTTTTTTTTTTTTAAAGCCCATCAACATTTTTGTACTAATGTGACGGAAAAAATTAAAAAAAAATTATTATTATTAAAAGTTTATCAAAATAACTCACGCATCTATCTTATATATCTTCATCTAAAAAGAATACTTTTTTATTTTCATCTTTAATACACCCGAATTAAATCTTTACTCATTTTTTTTTCAATTATCCTAAACAAATTTTAATAAAATTTCCATAATTTAAATGTAGGGTTTCTGAAGTTTAAATCAAATTACTTGGGAATATAATTTCTTTCCTAATTTTTTTGCAAAGGAGCCCTTTTACCCCGCTGCTAGTCTTCTTGCCGTTTGAAACGACGCTTGAGCTTTCAGTCAAACTCTCTCCCGCATGAAACAAATCTCACGTGTGCTTCTTCCAAGCTCAAAAGCTTGAAATTGCTCAGTTTTCCTCCTCCCTCACACAGGAAGCGGATGCACGAGGGAGGCTAGGTTTCTTTCCTTTTGGTCTCTCATGCTCGTGTCTGTCTCTAGCGACCTTAGAGATTGTCGTTGAGCCTCCCTTCATTCTGCTCGGGGTTTGTCAATGACCACGTGGAAGGCTCGTTCGAGCCACTCGAGTCTTCAGGTGCTTAGTCATGCATCTCCCGCACAAAGGAACCCTTGGCGTGTGCTGCTCGAGGTCACACGCACTCGGTTCGTGCATAAATGGAGGATCGAGAGCCTACCTATCTCTGGCTTTCTCTTCCTCTGCGTCTCTTCCTCTGCGTGCTCGTGCCTTTGGTTTGATGGAAACAAACGATAGGATACATTTCGATTACAATCGGCGGGCGGCTGAGGGAGTACTAGAATTTTTTTATTAAGTTGATTAAAATTTAAAAGGGAATTATTACAGTATTAAATGCCTAATTGCTTCAAAGAAATTAACTGCACCATGGAAGAGCAATTCCTTCCATTTAGGAAAATTACATGCCTGCTGAATTTCCCTGTAACAGCCATATCCGAACAACGAAGTTTCAACAAACTGTCCAGACATCATGTGTTGCATGTTCTCTAGGAGATTGTCATTTATTTTCACACAAACTTCTACACTAGTAACAATGTAGAACGGGGGATTCGTCATATGCTTTTTGCTCATGATACATTTATTGTTATATGCAATTCCATTAGGTGCATAATCTTAACAACATTTTTCAAAATTTAGTCACCGTTCACCTTGTGCTGCACGCATGTTTATTGGTCATTGCGTTCACACATCTGAATGTAATGAGCCTATAAATTCTTGCAGTAGAAGATTACGTGGGTTGATATGGGACAGCTAAAATCTTTTCAAACTTTTTTAAGCTACGTATAGGGCTCTAAATCTGCGGTTCTCTATAGCTTTACCAGCAACCAATACAAACATTTCGCTAAAAAATCTCCTTATGTTAATGCATATGATTTTCTACATTATGCTTTTCATTTTAACCGTTTTTAGTATTGTAGATGTAAACTTCTCTGAAGCATCATCTTTTAATTTTTTTTTAATCATTTCATAGGAACCAACTTTGGCATAGTGTTTTGGTATTGTTGTGTTGCTAATATTACAATGAACAAACAATACTAAGTTGAGGTATTTGTTTGCTGGTTCGTTACTAAATCAGGACATGGCATTAGATATATGTTCTTCATTGACACATTATCATGCTTTTATTAATTTAAGCCTTCTTTGTTCCAGAATGATATGATTGATGACTTCGGGGTTTCACCCTTATGCAATAAGAGTGCCAAATTGGCTTATAATGATGCTAAAATAACTCATAAATCAAGAGTGGCACTAGCGTCTCCATATTCCCATGAGGATCAAGGCGAAGAAAAATCAATTAAGGGAAAAGGTTTAGATGCATGCTTATTAGTCTCAAATGAGAAGCATTCAATAGGTAACCTTTATTTTGGGATCTTTTTCATTTATTTTATTGTGCTGAGTATTAACGTATTTAATGGGCATTGTATATAGCAAATGGAGAATTAGTCCCAACTTCCATACAATAGCAACAACAACAAGAAACCTTTATCCCACTAAGTGACATGAATCATTTTTCTCCATCGTGTGCTATTGAGTGTCATATTTTCCTTTAATTCTAATAAATTATGATCATTTTTTATAAATATGCCCAAGTCTTTTTAGGTCAACCTCGTCTTTCTTAACATAAGTCAAATCTAAAATATCTACTCTCCTGACCAGGCCATCAGATGGTCTAGGTTTAATGAAAATATCCAAACATCCAGAATTTTTTTAATTATATTGTTTCATAACTTCTAGCAAACCTAACGGGCATAATTTCCTTTTGCTGATAGTCTTATGTTTTAGCTCTGTGAAGTTGCTGAAATTCAGGACTTGAGCTAGTTATATATACATTGTGATTTTAATTCATGGCTGCAATGCTTTCTATCCACGTGTTATGTTAAATTCATATAAATCTTAAAGGCTAAATAAGATTAAGGGTGTAACTCCTTCATTATGATTCCATAATTTGGTAAGGTCTTCAAGTATGTGAGCGGACCTCATGAAGGAAGGCCTCGAGGACCAGATTTATAAATACTCAAAAAATTGAAACTTATAAAATGATAACGAAAATGATGGAATACACAAGTGAATTAGCTTAAATACTAAATTTGTATTTTTATAGAATCATGAGCACACACGATCAACTTCATGCATTTTTTATCTTCATCATTAGCTTTATGTTAAACGTTGATTACATTTTCTTCCTATTACCTCTACCTCTACCGAACATCACTTCATTTCTTAAATTTTCCATTTTTTTTCCCAACAGTAATTTATTTTGTCCTCTAGATAGCCACAAACAATTTGTTTGTATGCTTGTTTTGAAATTAGCAGAAACGATAACAGTAAGGAGCAATAAGACAATTGCAAGAAGATAATAAGACTGTTTGCAAGGCAGCAAGAAGCCAACAAGAACAACAAACAAGTCATCCAACAACAAAACAATAAAACAATTGCAAATTAGCACTAAGACACCAACAATAACTAGCCAATCAAGCAGCAAGCAACAACACAATGCTCGAAAGCGGTTGCAAGGAAAGAATGACTAACAGTGTTAGCTGCAAAGACCAACACAATTTGTTGTGTTTTTAGCTTGTGTTTTCAAAGCATTAAGCACAATCTGAAGCATAATAACTCTTTTATTTTTTGATTTCAATGCTAAAGGGAAAAAATGTAAAGTTCTAAGAGAAGTGAAGTTTTTACTAACTAAAACACTCATGACTTTTATGTCATATATACATATTTTATGCACAAAGTCATATAGTTAATTTAAAACCCACATGTAATAATTTTCAAGAAAAACAATGACACATTCTATAACATTAGTTTTTAGTCTTTTTAAGTTAACAAAGAATCTAAGATATGAAAGATGAAGTTATTAAAGAATAGTTAACAATATACAGTACTGTTGAGGTTGAGAATTGCTAGAGACCAACAGGTGGAGGTAGTTTGAAGTGTGAGTGTGTGAAGATGAGGTACGGAGAAGCATGCAAAGAATACATTGAGAATCAATCCTGAAAAGAAGTTTAAGGGCTAGAAACTTTCAGTATCAGCAACAAGAATCACATAGAAGTGTATGAGAAAACTAGCAAATGAGAGGCTGTGGAGAGGAGAATCACTAAAAAGTGACTAGGTTCAATAGAAGAGAACATAACAGCAATGAGTAAAGACTCAATTACTATAACAAATAAGCTCAAATTTACAAAATTACAATAATTTTTTGGCTAATCTAACATTCATCCTTATGCTGTTGTAATATGAATTTCAATATAACAATCTAACTTTAGAAGCATTGGTCTCCCTCATATGATATTTGATTGATAAATTGTTTGTGCATGTAGACTCCTAGTTGCATTCTTTTTTATCTCAATAGTGTTATATTAAAATCACCATTTTTATCAATTTTGATGAAGACATTAGATCATCGAAGTTTTTACGAACACGATCTCTTTAATCTTTCCATGATATGATGTCTAAGTCATGATTATAAATGATCTAATTGGTCATTACTAGACCTAATCCTTAGAGCATGGATCTCCCATTTATGAGGATTTCACTCTTGTGAAATTAGTACTACATATAGGGGACAACTGATATTTTAGCCTCCCAGCTACGTTATTTTATTATAATTTTCAATTGATTTTTATGAAACTCCTAAGTGATTTTACAATTTTTTTTTATGAGCTCCTTGATTTATAGTGCTTAGTTTGCATTTCATCATTAGGAGTATTCTATAAATATTCAAAGTTATATCATAACTGTAAAAAATGCAGAATCCTCTATTACTGAAGGAGTTTGAAGAGTCAGTTTCTATCTTATTCAAGCAAGATAATGATAAGAAGAAATCAGTGTCTTAGTAGTTTTGGCAAGCTTAACAAAAGGAAACACTAACACATATAAGTCAATACATTAGAGGTTTGGCAATATGTTATGGATGAGCTGTATGTCTTGCTCCTTAGTTAGCCTCTGCAGTTGCATATCACCCTCTGTAACGCCTAGTTTTGTCGACCTGAAGAAGGAAATCGAAGATTTAATTATTCGAGAGAAATCAAACGAGAAACGAAGAGTCGTGGCCAACCGAAAGTGAGGAGAGGAAAAGATGGGATCAAAAGTCAAGGAGACAAGTCCGCCAATAAAAGGACCGGTCAAGGCAAGATTCACTTACCGGTTGATTGAGCGGCACGGGAGACGTCGAGTCGAAGAGGAAGGGGACGAAGTTTTGTCAATTTTGAGTGGTCCTGTGTGAAAAGAAGTGGTGGGAGCGGCAAAGGAACCCGTGCCCGTGGCGGCCGTTTTTATTATTTTTTTTTTAAACTTCGTGATTTGAAAAAGTGATGATTTTGTGATTTTGTGATTTTGAAAATAATTTAAATATAAATATAACCTTTCTGATTTTTAAAAGTAACATTTTAATTTTAAAATAGGTGAGACTAAACGGGTCTCACATTTTAAATAGTTTAGATGATTGAATACAATACTACAAGTAATACACTTATCTCGAAGAATAAATATATCACTTGTAATAAGGATTCAATCACCCAGACTACAGAATTTGTGACATCTTTTTTAGTCTGCGAAATATTTTTATAAAAAGGCCAACAAGTTCCCCTACCTAACATAAAAAAATTAGATAGGATTTATTTTATTTTCCTTATAGAGGCATGCCCCTATAGTTAATTACATCTTAAATGATCGAAATCACTTAAGAAAACTCTCGATTAAGATCAGGTGGTTTTGCTTTCAAGATTTCAAAGTTTAAGTTTTCACGATTGGACATGGGGAAAATCAAATGGGAATGGCTCAAAATAGGAACAATTATTTAAGGAATCCAAAGGAAAGAAAAGTAGGGGATATCACAGATCCAGGAGAAACCCCGGAGATGTCCCAACTATTCTATTGTTCGGTTTTATATCTTTGAAGTGATGTTTATTTGATATTTCAATCTTGCAAATTATTTAAGATTTAGGGCTTATGTTTACACAATATCGAACTGTGCAAATAGCCTAAAAAGATAGGAGGATTTACACCGTACAACACTATAACCTCGGAATCCGAAAGTGTTAGGACTTATAATTGCACAACAGAGTTGTACAAAAAGCCTAAAGAGTGACCCTATGAGTTATTTAAACTAAAGAAGGTGATAGGTGATGTGAATGTGTTTTGCTGCTGCAGATCTACCTTGAAGTTGTTCCTCGTCGTGCTGCTCACGATGTTCGCTCCAAGCTTCTCGCAGTAGCACCTCCTGGTTTATTTTTAGTTTTGAACATGCACCTAACAATTATTTATTCTATACTAAGGCATAGTCCAAAAACTAAGCAATAAAACATGCAGTGTGAAAGAAAAGTAACAATGTACTGTACAGTAAAGAAGAAAGACAATATAACATGCTGAAAGAAGAGTATAACGTGTTATAAAGAGTAGTATAACATGCTGGAAAAATAATATAACAGCTATGAAAATAATATAACATGCTTTGAGATAAAATACTGTAATATAAATTAAACCTGTACACTTGATAGGTTCATTGCTCCTTTAAGTTTACTATTATGCGCTGTATAAAAAGGGAAGTATGACCTGAAAAAGACTTAACAGAAACAGGTTAATCATAGGAAAAATGACAAATAAATAAAATAAAATACAATATCACATATAAAGGGCCAAGAATAGGAAATTTATATGTGATATTAGAATGTTCTCAATTGCCAGGAGGATTTGAGTGTAAGACAAACTCAAATCCCGGACGGAGCATTGATTTCAGTTTTGGTCAAGTTAAGGTAAGAATTTCATTATTTGATTTAATTAAATCAGTCATGAGTCACAATCTAGTGCACCCTCGTGCCTAGTGTCCTACTTATCTCCTAAACTGAGATTAGATGTTTGGATTTCTTAGGGTCATTTGAAAATTAGGATAATAAACTATCTCTTAAGTTGTGCTCCTAAGATCTAGGATGCCTGCACTTTAGTTTAAACTTGAAGTGTCCTAAAGAGTCTAATCTCAATTAAGTGTCTTTCCACTAACCCTCAAACATCTATAGATTCAGCTTAGCTCGCTATCAGACTCCTAAAACCTAGGGGTAAACTCATAGTTTTGGCAAAAGAATTGTGAGTTGTGTTTCAATCTTAGTTAAAAGAATTGGATTTTAAATTGATTCAAAGCTCAAGGAATCTAAGTGTAAGTTCACTAATCTCTCAATCGTTATCTAAATTATCATTTCTTCCGATTCCAATTAGTCGTCCAATTTGCAATTCATTTTTCCTTTTGTAAAAGAAAAGGTGGATTGTTCGTTACTCTATCTCCTCTTTAGATTTTATCATCCCAAAAATTCAAATTTCAATTTTAATTTTCTCTCATTTTCTCTTTCTCTTTCCCTC